TTCTATTGTTTAGGTATACTGTTAGTTGAAATGCATTTATTAAATAGGACAGTTATAGCTTGGAGAAATGGTAAACCAGCATGTTTAAGCATTTTATAGCTTATGTCTGAGGGGCCACAAGCTTTATTATTTGGGAGTTTTGCAAATATATTAGAGATTTCTTCTTCAGAAAATTCTGCTAGTACCTCTTAATATCATTCTGGATGAATGTTTGTTTTAGGTTGATATTCATTGTTCCAAGAAGAATTATAAATTTGTTGCTTAATTTGTCTATGTGTTGTCTATTGATTGAAGTATTGTTAAATATATGTTTTAATTTTCTGTACTTCTGTAACAACATCATGGTCTGTTTTAATGTTGTCAAACTTTACAGGATCTTTGTAGTGATTTAATATGCTGTTAATTATTGATTTTGGTTGAGACTGAAGTTTATCACATCTTTTGGCTATGTTTTTATTAATTTGTTGTCTAATTATTTTAATGTTTTTGATATTACGTGCATGATAAGTGCTTTTCACTCATTATTAGCATTTAAGATCCAGTTAGTTAATAGGTTATGTCTGGTTGGTAAAGAGGGAATAGTAAGATTATTAGCATTATTCAGTTGTTAAATTATGTTGTTAAGTTGTATAGGTATAGGTATTTGATTTCATAATGAGGCTTTGATTTGTCAGATTATATTTTCTAGCTTTTTAAGGCTATGATGTAAAAAAAAAGCTTTGGCAGAATATATGTGTTGAAAGTTACACATCATGACTTTTTGCTAGAAATATGTTTGAGAGTAGCTAAAATAACACTAGTTTGGATTTTGTGTCATGTTATTTCAAGGATTCTGTTGTATTAACAGTTGTAGATGTATAGTTAGAACTAAGATTAGTAGCTACTTGATCAGTATATAATTGCCAAAGTTTTTTATTCATTTTTTTGTATAAAAATATTCTTTTTCAAGTTTTGGTTGCAGAACATCATTTGCCACAATAAGCATAGGAAAAGGACCAAGAGGAAATTAGGATTTTATGATCACTATTTGTGCTAGTTTTGGAGGCATCGGTATTGTATAAGGTGAGGTAGCAGATAATTAAATAGTTTGCCCAAATGTAATCAATTCAGCTTTAAAATTGGCTACTTTGTCAAGTATTAGATAGTGATTGAGTATGGGCAGCTAGGTCATACATGTTGTTATATTGAAGAAAAAGCAGTAATTTGTATTTTATAGAAGAAGAATGTAAACTATTATTAAGAGCATTGAAGCCTCCCAGAATAATGGGTTGTAAGTTTGAACTTGTGGCTTGTTGGAGCTATAAAATAACAGTATTTTAAACAGTTAATCTGAGTTGGATATTATTACAAGGTAGATATATTGATATAATGTGAAATTTAAAGTCATATTTAAAAAAAAAATCAATAGCAATGGCATAACTAGGAAGGTTGTGTATTTTGTGAATATGTGGTTTGAGCCAGTTATTGATCATAATTGCAGTACCAGCTTTTGGGCTATTGCTGCATGATCAGTAGTATGTAAAATGTTTGGATTTTTGCAATTTATTATTACATTTGTGTTAGCTATTTTGGTTTCAGTAATGCTAATTATATTAAGGTTGTTTGTTAAACAGAAGTTCTCCTATATTTATTGTTTAAGGTCTTCATTGTAGCCTCAAACATTGTAGGTACTGATTAATAGCTCAAGAGATTTAATAACAGAAATAGGTTGTAAATTTTCATTTATTGAGTTGGAGAGCTGAGGTGTGATTGTATATCCAAGAGAGAGTATGTTATTTGTGTTTACAGCTTTGAAGTATATAGAGGTTTTGCATTTGCTTTGTGATTTGAATTTAGTATTAGTAGGTGATGATCAACAGTTTGAAAATTAGGTTGAGATTTAAGGGATATATTAAAAAAATTATTAGTAGAAAGAATGTAATAGTTTGATAGAATAGTAAGCTCATGTAGTAAATAAATATAGGCTTCTGTTTTGTCTGTTTTTAGTATTATCATTAAGAAATTTAATAAGTGTGTAAAGTTGGTTTGTTGTAAATATTGAAAGAAAGTTTTTATAGTAGTTTGAAGGTGTAGTAGAGAAAGATAATGATATTGAAAAAATTTGTTATAGCAGGTGTCCAAATCATAGGAGTTTAATGATGTTGATAATGATTTGGGTTGTATATCTTCTGTAGGGTCATTCACCGTTTTAAGCTCAGTTTTCACAGCTGTGAAGAAAATATTTAGTTATAAGATCTTATATCTTATTATACTAAATAAAAAATTCAAATTTTGAAAAAATTAATTTAATATAAAAAATAAAAAGTAATTAATATTAAAATAGATTATGTTTTTAAATATAGTTAAAAAATTAAAATTATAAATTATAAAACTATTAAAAAATATAAATATATTTTGATCATATAATTAAAAGAATTTAAACAGTTAAAAGTATTAAAAATAAAATTAATTAAAGAACTTTAAGTTTACAAAATATATTAAATTAGTAATTTTAAATAATTTGAACTAAAACAATATGTTTTTAAAAAATTAATAAATAAAATTATATCAGATATTATTGTAAAAATAAAATAAATAAAAAGTAATATTAGCTAATAGTTTCTTATCTACTCAAAACAAATTAATTGTTAAATAGAAAATAACAAAATTAAAAGACTATAATATGAATAAGAAAAAATAGATCAAAAAATAATAACTATATAAATTGAATATTTGATAATAAAAAAAAACATAAATAGATTTTTTTTTGACCTTTATATAAACTTTTTATTAATTTAAAATTATATAATATATTCTTGTAATTTGATATTGATTATTATTTTGTATTAGTTATTAACAAAATAAAAGTTACAACATATAATATGAAATCTTATTAAATATTTACTATTTTTTTAATTTGTTAATCCTTATCAATATATATTTATATAATATAAAATATTCAATAAATATTCAGTAAATATTTAAATATTTATTTAAAATTTTTTAAGAATATTCAAATATTAAAAATATTAAATAAATGAATATAAAAGATGTGATAACTTAGTAAAGTAGTCAGGTTATCAACCTTCTAATTAGTAAATTAGATGTTCAAATCTTATTAATAGTAAAAATTTAAATAACCACCTATATAATATCATATTATAACAACTGTTACTAATAATTAGATTAGAATATCTGTAATAATACTTAAATTAGCATAATTGACAGATTATAGAACATCTGTGCAATATTAAGATTATACAGAAAAATGCAAACTGATAATTAGATAATACAAACATTAGATAAGTTCTTGTAATTATATAAATCTATTGAAATTGTATAACAAGAAATGCATTTGAGAAAACCCAAATAAAAAAGTAGTTAGATTTTTGATAACACTACTATAAAGACTAAATCACTAGAAACAAATACCAAAATTATAATAATTGATTAAACAAGAACCTTTAGATTAGAGAAGACTTGAAAGTACTATCAATCTAACTATCAAAATAAGCCAAAAGAAAAAAATATTAGGTTAACTTGATATAGTGAAAGATTGATTGTAATTCTATACAGACTATCTAAATTAAAAGTTTGGTAAAAAAAATTAAAATATACTAAAATACTAAAGATATGCTATAAAGTAAATACTGAAATATATATAAATTCTATAAGAATACAGCAGTTTAATAGTTAACTCTAATTACAAATATTAGTTCTGCTATAGTAATACCAGATTAGCTATAAAAATGAATACAAAAAACTCTAAAAGTTTATATTGAAGATAAAATAATCCTAAAATTGAGATGATGATTCAATAAAATTAACAAATTATAAGTTTAGAAGGTTTAAAGTAAAACATTCAAGCAAAGCTATTAGGTATGATAATTGGTAAAGAACCTTCAGGCAGACACCTTAAATAGGTAATATAGAAAATTTACATGTGTAACCAATTGTATACTCTTCTATAATGGTTCACTGAATTACATTACCAAAAAAGTTGTTAATAAAAATCAAAAGACAAAAGAGATCACCTTAATACCAAAAAAACAAAAAAAACAAAAGAATATTTAAATACAAATTTTTTAACCAGATAAAACATCTTCTTATAGACTAACTTTCTTCTATTGATCAATTACTTACAATTAATTGTATTTATACAGTTTAGAGTACTTTTAAGAATATAAAATTTCACAAGTAAAAAATGAAAATTAAGACCGTCTCTATCTTCAGTAAAGTTACTATTCAAAATAGTTCAAAAAGATCCTCAACCCAGAGGTGTTCTAATTAGAAGGTAAAATTTCTACGTATATTATAACTATATATCTGATATTACTAAATGGTCGAATGTATTTGACTTAGTAAAAAAAAATTAACAAAAACTCCTTTTTTTAAAACAGATAAAACGGTTTGCTGAGTTATGTATATAGTGTTTAAAACATAGTGTAAAGAGCTTTTTACGTATTGCGTAAGTAAAAACGGTTAATTAGACCATTTAAAAAACTTTAAAGATTTTAAAACTCCATGGGTTTAATAAATTTTTTCATAATAAACGTTAATTATCTTTTAAACTGTCAATTTAACTACTTACGTATCTACTACATATAATTTGATAGCTTAATCACAGATCAATCATGAAATTTCCAGGCAAATTTGCCTGAAAAACAGTTTAAGGGATAATACAATAATTATTTTAGTATAGTAAATGAAATAGACTTTAGAAGCTTAAGAAAATATATTTGTCTTTTGTCATAACGATAGAACTAATTTTACCGATATATTTTTATATAATTTTATTGGCTCATTGTCACATGCTGGCGCGTATGGCCAATCATAGTGCAAGATTCAATTTTCATGTGAGAAAGTTAACCTATAGATCCGAATCACATAATAATATGTACCCGGCAGATCTGTCCGGATACCATTTTTTGTGGGTCGTTTACATTGTGTGATATTATATTTTATTAAATATCAATATGCAGTTTAAAAAGTTTTAAATATCGATAATTAATATTCGTGACATGCCTGAAACGTCTGAAATGGAGATATTGCCTGGTGTAAAAACCGAGTCTGGAAAGGAACTGCTTACTGACGTAAAAATTGAAACATCTGAAAAAGAGTCATTATCAACCAAAGAGGGTCTTCAAGAAAATAAAAAACGAATACATGACGACGAAGAAAGTTACAGTTATGCTCTTGATGACTCAAAAAGGCAAAAGAGAGAAGGTAACTTGTTATTTCGCGATCGATTTTTTATCCAAAGGTTTGATCGAACCTATTTATTAAGGTTCGCCAAATTTTATATTTGATTAATTCACTTGAAGGATCTGAAACTCCTGGAACACATTCTCCCAAATCAACAGCTTCGCTTTCACCTACTGCATCAGATAGAGACTCCATGACACCGACATACTCTTCTAGTTATTTAATGGCACAACAATCTCTTTATTTTCCCAAACCTGGGATGTCCGCATTGCATCTAAATGAAACACAAAAGGCTGCTCTAGATAGAGCAAAGGCCTTTGCAAGAGATATACAGGCAACAGTAAGAAAATTCTTCCAACAAATATATTTAAGCGTTCGCTTTTAATATCCATCTAATAATTTAATTCTTTAGCTGCTAAAATCAGCTGGAAGAGATAGCTCACCTCCACGTTTACCTTCTCTTTTTTTATCATCTAATCCTGGATTGGCATCCGGAATAGATCCCCGTTCTCTTTCGGTTTTATCACGTATTTATGTCGGTTCAATCAATTTTGAACTTACCGAACAACATTTGCGCGTTGTATTCGGCCAATTCGGTTCAATAAAGAGCGTTAGTATGTCTTTAGATCCTCTCACTGGAAAACATAAAGGTTTTTGTTTCATTGAATTTGAAACACCGGAAGGTGCCTCTTTGGCTCTTGAATCTATGAACGGAGCCGAATTAGGTGGAAGGTAATTTCCAAAGCTTCATAATAAGATGTACGAATTTTTTTATCCATCGTTATTTATTTAGGCAGCTTAAAGTTGGGAGGCCTAATAATTATACTGCTGCTACTGCTGCTGGTTAGTAAAAAGTTTATTTTCTGTCTCACGAGCTTACCTGAAATGAAATGATATTGACAATAAATTTAGGTTTATTACCGCCTCCAAAAACTCGGATATACGTTTCTAACGTTAACGAATATGTTAGTGAAGATGATTTGTTGAGTATTTTTGAATCATTCGGTAAAATTATTCATTGCGCTCTATTGGTAAGTCATTAATTTCATAATGTTATCAGCAATACTCTTTCTTATTGTTTTCTTTTGATAATATTTCAGCCGGACCTTATAACGAGAAAGCACAAGGGATATGGGTAAGTTAAATAAGTGTATCTTTACTGTATTTATTAGGTTATGCAGGATTCTTTCTCTGCAACCAGACAGTACCGAGTTGATTATGACTTTATTCGGGAGTGAATGTAAACTTTAGAGTGATGGTGTCCCTTTCCGACTATGTTGTGTGCATTTTTCATGACTCCTTCACCTTTCCATCTTTCCTTGTATTTCACCTAATCTTAAAAGACATTTGCCATCAAGTGGCATTTTAAGTTATCAGAAGCTTTCTGCATTTGAACTACTGAAGTTTTTTTGCCATATTTGTTCATATTTTCATTGTTAAATCAATAATTTCAAATATGGAAGTTGTGGGAAATTGCAAACTCACCATTTATAATTTCATCTATGCACTCTATGCACTACAATTTTTTTTTTATCAATATTATCGATTCTATTGCCGATTATTCGGCTTTTTTTTTTGTTTATGTACATGTTTTACATAACCGCATACTCCCATAATGTATACATATTCATACATTCCGCAGACAGACAATCAATCACTCCAGCATCGTTCAGTAATGAACATCCCATACTTTCGTTGATATTGGCACCACCGCTTGGACCGTCGACAATGGCTGTACTTCAAAATGCAATCCTTCCCAGCATTCCATATCTTTCAATGGCTTAGTATTAAGTACATAAAATTTTTTAATAACCATCCCCACTTTCCCTATTCGTTAATTTAGGTTCATTGAATTTTATGATGAATCCGCCGCTAGTACAGCTGTTAGTTCTATGAACAATTTTGAATTAGGAGGTTTGATTTTACATGTTGGTAAGGCGGTGATTGGAGGTCCACTAAGCGAGGGTATGAAAGCAATCGAAAAATTACCCCCGCTTCCTGTTGGTGTAACCCCTCCACCTACTCTTGTAGCCTCCCCTTCTGTGTCTGCTGCAGGTTTGTAATTTATTGAGTTAAGTTTGAAAGGACCATCTTTTCGGTTAATTTTAAACTCAAACTTAATAGCTGCGGCTGCTAAAGCTCAAAATGCAGCAGCGAAAATAGCGGCTGATTTGGCTGCTAGAGGACAAGCTGCGGTGGAGTCTGTCGCACAGGAAGAGAATATGAGTATTAGTGCTAGCCAACGTTATGCGATTATGCAGAAATTAGCACGAGCTGAAGTATGTAATAAAGTTGTGCCCAATATTATAATAGTTCTTTATCTAATATGTATAAATTACATAAAGTCATCTCCAGTTGTGTGCATTCGTAATGCTGTTGCGCCTTCAGAAGTTGACGATACGCTTGAAGACGAATTTCAAGAAGAGTGTAGTAATTATGGACAAGTTAGCAAAGTAGTAGTTCACATTGATTCAGAAGAGGGTTTTGAAGGTGAACGAGGTTTGGTTAAAATATTCGTTCAATTTGAAGAAGGAGCTGGTAAGCTTTCTAAAATACAATTATATTATGCTTTTTTTTTTTTGATTTCGAATTTCATTATGATTTTTGTAGATGCAGTGAAAGCCAAAGAAAAATTGGATGGTCGATGGTTTGGAGGTCGTCGTATAAGTGCTACTTTATTTGACCTTAAAAAGTTTCAAACAGGAGATTACTCCAACTAACATTTTTTTTCTTTTAATGTACAACTCATTATTTCGCTTACAATTGTCCGTTTATTATATAAAATGCTAATACAATCATTCGTATTAAAGTTTTGTAATATATTCTTAAAAATTTTTTTACATAATATAAAATTATCCATGAATGCGCTTTGTTGTATTGATAGTGTCAATAAATCTTGCCTTAAATATTGCATATTGTGAATTACTCAATTTGCATTCAATAAAAAATTTAATGTTACAAATATAAAGATTAACAATTATATGAATATATTGTACATGTAAAATGAATGAAAAAAGTATGCAAACAATAATTTTAACTGCTTTTATATTTCTGAATAAAATAATAGAGAAACACTTAGTCAAACAGGAAAAAAAAATGAAGAGCAAAAAAAACCAGATAGCTTACATCCTCACTCTGCATTTTATTGCTTGGATCTATTGTATTTCTTACACCAAGTAAGCCTTTAGATGCTGCCTCAGCGACCCCAATCATTGGTTTTAACACAGCAACCGGTACAGCACGAATCACAGCCTTTACTGTTCCTTGAGTTCCAGTCTTCTCATATACTTCCATTGGCACGGCAAAAATTGTGTGCGCCGCAGTTCCGATATTCTGTTTCAAACTTTGATAAGCAGCTACCATTCCTATATGAAGAGTAAAGAATATTAACACCTAAAGTTTTTTTTTTTTAAACCTCATGAAAATTTACCTTCACTTATGTCTGCGGGCTGATTAGCATATTTGCTGCTAGATTTGTTGGATTTTTTATCTTCTTCACTATCAAACTCTTCATTATTATCCATATTTGAACTAGTTTCTGTTTGGGTCTCAAAAGAAAGTATTTCTTCCGCATGCTCAAGTAATATCTGTGTTCCAACGGCAAGTTTGGTACCATATTTAATTGCCTCCATGGTGGTTGCCTTTGCAAAAGACTGCGTTCCTCTCTGAAGACCTGCACACAGTTAAACAGAATATATATAAATTCTCGGATATTGAATGTCTGTTCACGTTGTGCTGATATTAATATAATGACAAACCTTTAATAATCCTTCCATCTTTTTTGTATTGTTCAATAGGTAGCAGAATAAGATCTGCAACTCCTGAACCTATATTTACCAAAGACCTTATTGGAGCAACACCTGATACAACATTAGGTACTTGCGTACTAGTTATGTGCGGCAGCCATGCTGCACCCAAGTCTTCTAATAGACGTGATATGCCTTTAACCTATAAAATATACACGCATGAACTTATACTGCTAGAAAGCCATAAAAAGCGTATGGCAAAACAGAGAAATATTTACTCCTGTTAATTTAAGGCCTCTCAATGTCATTTCTGCAGCTTCAAGATGGAAAATATTCATTAATTCAACCAAATTGCCTTCTTTTAAACTAGAATAATCAAGATGTTTTGGTTTGTAATCCAACTTCATTACAATTGGTTGAATTTCGAAGAGTTCTTTGAAGTGTATGATAAAATAATTAACAAAATTGTAACTATAATGTAACAAAATTGCTAAAGAAAATAACTTACGGAAATATGTCTCGTCTTCAGTATGTTGTTGAGAAGCACCGCTATCAGGACTTTGGTAGGAGAAAAACTTAATTACGAAATTTAATGCGTCCTGATCAATGTAAAATCTTAATGGTAAAAGTTTGGCCTATAAACGTAAACAATTGTTAAGAGAAATCAAATCAAACCAATATATGGAGCATCTGAAAATTATGCAATAACCTTTAAACGAAACTCTTCAGCAGGATCTGTTGGGACAGGACGGACGCTCGTTAACTCTATCTTAACCATATTAGATTTATTTTCACGAGGATTTGTATCATTATCTGGACGTAAGTGAGACAAGAATTTATGCCATGCAGATGTTTTGATATTGTCGAGAACTTCTAAATCTCTAATCAGCAACAGCAGTCGAGACGCTAGCAAATTATCTTTTGGAAATAAGTCAAACTCTAAATTGATCTTATCAAACTTAATGTCAAGTTTGCTTGTTCGTGAACGGCTAGGATTCGAATCAACAAACGGCATACGATCAAATGGACTGGATAATTCAGTGTTCATTAGGCCTTGTATTTCGCCCGTAGAAGGTCCTGCTATATTAGTAGCAGTTGAATTTTTGACGCTTGTTAATACCTCAGACGCTTGATTCCTAGTGTGTTTCCAGTCATAGCCATCGTACAGCTTCCATAATATGTTAAAATCACGAAGACGGATTCTTGTCAAACTATTCGGTAAACTGTAAAGTAGTATTGTAGTATTTAAGTTAAATTAGTAAATAGCAGACCGGTAATATCATTTGATTATTCTATACCCACTCTTGCCTAACTTCCTCAAGCTCACTAGCACTCGGAACAGAAAAGTGATCTTCTACAAAGTTGAGAGGCTCTATTGGATAGTCTTCCTCATCTTCATCTTGAGGAACCACATCTGAATATTTAGTGATAGTTTGCTGAGAATTTGAAATTGGTAATGGTTGGTCCACCATAAAGTCTGAAACAGGAAAGAGCAATTAATAAAATGAAATAATTATAATTGTAGAAAACATCTAAATATATTAATACCATCATTGAAATCGTCGAATACGACTGCATTCTCAAAAAAGTGATCTGACTCGAACATCTCATCATCTTTCTCGTTTGCAAAGAAATCTTCCTGAAACTCCAAGTTAGAAGTAGGGTTATTACTAGATATTTCTGATCTTAAAGACCTTTGTTGCGGTCGCTTGAAAGCTTCTTCATCAAGGCTCGCTAAGTTTGATTATTCAGATTCGTTTTAACACTCAATATGTAAATATATACAAAGCTTATTATAGTAATTACCTAACACGTTTTGATAAACAGACTCATAAGAATTTTCATTGTAGGCATCTTTTGTGTTGGTAGTTACATGATGCACTCGTTGCCTGAGTAATTTCCATAATTATTAGAGAAGTCTACATGAATCAATTAAAAATATATATATATATGTATAATACCCTATCCCTGTTTCTTGAGGTTCTGCTTTAGGTTTTAGCAGACTAGTAAGTGTCTGAAGAGTATCTACACATGTCTCGATCGTGAGGTTTTCGTTCGTAAGTTCAAGCTAAATATATTGATTTTTTAGTTACAATAAGAAATAATATAAGAGCAAATAATGAAGTGGTCAAAAGCCCATACATATAAATGTGGATATATTTCTCCTTTATTGGTTTGCAATATAATTTCCGCAAAATCCAATGACGCAGCTTTTACAAAGCCTATAGACTAACGATATTATAATAAAGTGTCAGTGTATGAAAATTAAAATGATAAAGCTTATTAATGAATTTTACCTCCCAATACTTTTTCGCAGTTAAAGGTAGTGAACCTAATCGATTAATGGATCGCTCATTAAGAGTTTTGACATCGTCAACCAGCATCAAATCTAAGTTTTGAACAATTAATTTAGCTTTAAACATTGGCGAATCTGTTATGATACTTGATGCCTGACATTTTTTAAGTCAATTTATAAATTAGATTTAATAATTAGGTTTAATAAGTTTATATAAGGTTTTAATGTTAAAAATTTACCTTCAGATTATCAAATACAGCAATAATTCTTCCGGCATTATCGTAAGGATTATAGTCAATCGAAGAATCGTTAACAGTGACGAACAACTTGGTGTACTGGTTAGGAAGATCCAAACATGGCTCCTGTAGATTGGTGCAAAAATAAAATCAAATAATAATAATAAACAAGCAAATAAATAAAATAATATAACGAACATCAGTATAAATATATATTTTATTTAATCGCTTGAAATTTTTATAATACCATTTCGGGCTCTTGCAAAAATGCAAGCATATCTTCTATCCATTGTGAACATTTATTATGCATTAAGGACACACCGTTTATTGACAATGTTAGATTTGTTTCTTTTGTATTTACATCAATATCAAGTGAAATAAGTGCGATTAAAGAAATCATGGGATGGGTATTCTTTGCCTGCAAATGTATGCCATATAAAATTATTCAGTCAAGCTATTTAAACAGACAAAAAAATTTTTATAAAGTTTTTACCTTAATATCCTTGTTCAATGTTCGGCATAAAATTTGTGTCTTTTCACGGTTGGATGTATCCCAAAAAGTAAATTGATCGTTATCCAAGATTACATACGTGTCATTCTATAAAAGACAGAATTATTAAATTTGCGATACGAAATTATATAAAATAAAATATGTAAAAAAAACGTACTTTGCCTTCATATTTGACTACCGTGAAGAACCTAAAATCTGACATATTAAGTTGATACGAATGTAATGATTGTGTTTGATCGACTTTTTTCTCGGCCTCATGTAATATGATAACCTCAACTAAAATAAATATCAAATTAAAAAATTATTGAAAATTATTGAAAATTATTGATATGATATATGTAGGTAAACGATCCTATAAATTTTACCATTAGTTATAAAAATGACCAATGATGCGAGACTGGGCCTTAAAGGTAACGTGTCATCCATGCGATACCCTAAAATAGAGGCCTCAAGTCTCCTTTTCATTTCGGAATCGTCAGATCCATGAGAGTCCATGCCATATGCTCTATCTTGATGGGATTTCACCTCGTATGCACCAACCATATTTATACGTGTTGTCGGTGGAGTGGATGAAATTTCGTTGTTGCCAGAAGCATTACTTTTAGGTTGCCAAATTGATAAATCATTTAGCAGTATTTGAAGTTTATCATACATTGACTTAGTTAAACGAACGCGTATAAGAGGAAAATTACAATTTATGACAAAAAGCTACATATAGAGTTTATAAGTACATAAATTAAATCAAAGTGCTAAAGGATGATTATTGACGAAATAAACGTGCTTACTGAGCTTTCAATCGTTCTCTGTTGAAACATTAAAATCTCCTCCTCTTCATTTTCAACGGGCCAATTGGTCCGTTCTTCTTCAAATGTTGTAAATGTCTGTGAAAAAGGTGAAGATCGAATACCATTCCCTATATATGACATTTTGTTTGCTACTGCACTAGCAGGACGGTATGTGATTTCGCAATTAGGAAACACAGGAGCAACCTGTGTTATAGATCGATGATGTATTTGTGGCACTTTTACAGCCTTTACTGCAAGGAAACATTTCGCATCTGGCACTATAATTACAAAAAATTATATTTAAAGGATTAACCGGTAAAAATTTCTGCATACGGCTATAAAATTTTTATAACTACCTTTGTGTTCTTTAATAAAAATATTAATGCCATTACACTCAATCTTAATCCTATTTTGTTGCGAATCAACCATGTTTTTAACTGGTTCGTTATGTTGCATGCCAAAACTTGATGAAAAAAGTGGATCATTTTGAAGTGCATTGACAGTTGAAATGTTTATATTAATTATATCCGTGATAAGTAAATTTGAATGAATGATATAATTATCCACTATGCTTGGTGTGTTCCTGCTACTTATATCTGGACAATGAAGCCAAAGACGAATGAGCTGGCAATTAATTACAAGATTTGACTTTTGCACAGAAGTATTCTGAAGAAAACAAAATATATATATTTATATAAGGAATAAAAAATGAAATTTGAATGCGTCTCGATTAACATTGCAAAAAAACCAACCTCATGCATTCTTTGCGTGTCAAGGTCATCAATGATATATTGACTGGATGATTGCTCGGTGAAAGTATGCATTGTTGTAGTTTCCACTTCAGAAAGTGAACCAGTATCACTTACACCTTTAGAAAAAATACTTATATAATTTTCTAATCGATCAATTATTCTTAGATCAAGGTGCACATGAAACGGTTCAAATTCTACAGTGATATTGGCATTATGTAAGCCAGAGTTTGACAATGATCCTAAATGTCAAGAAAATTACCAAAAATTAGAATAAATATGAAATAAAGATATTAAAGAATTTACATATTTACCTTCAATCGAAGCACCACCACTCTTAAATTTTATTTTAATGACCTCTTTTGAAGTATCGCTACCATTGAAACTAAATTTAGAGCTTATTCTGTTAGCTTTTTTCAAAATATTTTTATCTGTGTTTTTGTTTACAGGAAAACTAGGAAAGTCTGTTTCTTCGGCATTATAAGAGTTCAAAAGATGTGGATCAAAATATAACAATGGTGTATATTTGTCAAATGTAGGAAGTGTAGACTCAGGTTTCAATGTACCCAATTTAGGTTTTGAATTTGAGGTTAAGGGATTTTTTAACCATTCAGATATTGAAAATTGTGAAATAGCAATGTCCATTACAAAACTTGAGACGTCATCAGTTTCTGAACTCTTTTGAAATCCAGATGAGTGGCCACCAATTGACGTACTACTATTCCGCCTCCTACCCGCTGATAATGAATCTGGATCCCAACGTTCAATCCGACAATTCAAGCCACGAATGTTAATTTTCAAATGATCCGCATTTAAATATTCAGTAGATCGAATTTCAAAAAATTTTCGTCCAATATCAAAATCAGGTAATGAATCGTGATATAATAAAAACAACTCAATTAAAGGTACTTCAAGTTGGAATTTTATGTTGGATACACCAGAAGATATTGTAGGATTAAATTGTGGACTCGTCATGGCAGGGAATGAGTTTGAAACAACTGATGGATGAAATGAACGTGATGGTGTTTTATGGGAATATGAAATATTCGATGGCGAACGACTATGTCTGGAATGATTGTCGCGTGATGAAGTGGAAAAATCAGAATAGCGCGCACTATGTTGATAAACAAGATCGTCGATAGAGCGATAATCTTCCTCTTGAATTGGTTGTGACATTCGATGAAAGCCTTTTCCTTCCAAATCATGATAGTAATTTTGATTAAGACTTCGTGCATTATCATGAATAAAATCATCATCACTTTCAGTGCTGCTTGTTTCTGAAACGGATTTACTTCTTGACAACACGTTTGCCAAATCAGTAATCCATGCGATATGACTTGGTGTCAATACAGAAATTACCGATTTAATTGACCCCTCGATTATGAAAGATTGTGTACTATTCGCCTGTTGTATAGCTTCTTGTGTATAATGGTATGAAGATGAAGGATTACTAAGATCAATCTGAATTGCTGGAATGGCATCCGGACGTATTGTAACTTTAATCCAATTCTCCTCTTCGGGACATGAAAGAATCATTGCCTCATAAGCTTTTTGGGGTAATAGTTCATCGTTTGGAAAATTTGTATAGTCTTTTGTTCTATTTGATGATTCAAAGGATTCTTCTAAATTTGTTTGACTATTGGTTTGATCTAATTCAGACAACGCTTCTCTGATCCAAACACTTAGCCCAGAAATAGTAACTGACTTTACAGTTTCAGAAAGTGCAGGCGGTAGTGTTACACTTGCGGAACCAGGAGTGTTTGATTGGGTTGATTCATCTTCCAACCCAGGCGTTTCATCTCGAAATGAAATAATTGGTATCTCTAAATCAAGATAATATTCTTTCGAACACCCAACGTTATTTAAGTTCTTATTAGGAGATAATCGGATACAAGTATCCTTAAAAACTATTTTTACATTCGACATGAGTTTATCAATCAATCTTGCTAAAATCTGGATGCCTTCAATACCAGTGTCACCCTGTACAGGAGTTTGTTGACCTAAAGTTTCTGACTGTTCCAAGCCCCCACCTAGATCATTACCATCCTGTTGAAATACAGTACTCCCGTGGACTGATTGAGAAATAGAATTACGAAGTTCTTCGTCTTCATCAGGAGGTATTTCATGACGAAGGAAATCTCCCGCAAAATGAATGGAAGAAGAAAGTATGTGAGAGTCTTCAGGAGAAACTTTTGCTAAAAAAAAAATAACAAAGAATAAATATTAAATAAAACTATAAACATTATTGTATGTTTACTTTTAAGTTACCGTTTCTGGGTTTGACATGCTCGGGAACTGCAGTAATTTGCAAATTATGGAATTCCAAAATGCAATCACAATTCCAAATATTTTTCCACGGAATTTTTGCAACGATTCCACCAATTCGGCCGTCGACGATTACCACTGGTAAATCAGCGACGAGATCATTTAAAACCTAACACAGTTAAGAGAAGTAACCGTTAATATAGTTTATAATTAAAAGGGAAATGATATGATCCCGTGCATATTTCTCAAATTAAAAGGTTATATCGTGAAAATAAGTACCTCTACGTTGAGTTGTAGCTCTTTTAAATGAATCAGTCCATTTCCTAGTTGAACTTCAAGATTATCAAGGTCAAGTTCTTCAGCCAGAAATTGACCTAATGCTCTTTTGAGTAGAAATTTGAGAAGTCTCTTCTGGATCGTCGCAGGAACATTGATACTCAAGCCCCAGCCGCTAAACGGCCAACCTTTGTACATGGTTTCTTGGAGTGTAAAGGAAAAAAATAAAAGTAGTATTATCGAGTTCTCAACTATTAAACTATAAAAGTTGGCTTAATAAAGTCACATGATAATAATTTGAATTGCCAGCTGCGGCTTCGGCGCTTGGGGCCGATACTAATACTAAAAGAATTCCGCCAAAAGCAGTGTTATATGTATGTTATGTGGCACGGATAAAAATGGGTATACGTAGTAACTGGAAGTTTCTGCTTGTTCCGTATAGAGCTTCGTATTCTCATTCGAATAAATCATTATTTGATTAATAATGCGAATAAGCAAATTTTATTCGAATATTCGAATAGGCAAATAATTGGGTCCACTAATTTTCCTCTCAAGTTACTATTGGTCATAAGTAAATCGCATTTCTAATTGGATAAAATCGATGATCTTTAATAACGTGATGCATCTACAGCGAATCAGAGAACAAGATCGGGTGTAACATAAAAATTAAGGCAAGATATTGCTATCGCTATAAAATCGTCTATTAACATGTAATTTGGTGTGAATAATTCCAGCCAATAGGAACTTGGAAGGAATTAGTAATTACATTTTTTATTTTTTTTAATTGATGATCCGTCAGTCAACTGGAAAGTGATTCACTTATTTTTTTTTTGGAATTAAGAGATGTTTTCTGAATATAAATTACACAAAATTTATTTCAATTACAAATTTATTACAAGAGTAAAACTCAGATTATAAAAAAATATTAACTTTATAAATATTGTTTATTTAATTTATTTGTAATTTAAATTTATTAAAATTTATTTAGATTTAGAGTAGAAGGCATAATAAAATTTTAGAACATGCCTCAAGAAGCATGCTTCCAAGCAATAACATGCCTTTCTTATTATGTTTTAAGGCAAGTTCTTAGTATATAAATTATTAATATGCATGTAAGCTAAGAAAAAAGACATGAACATATTATTATGCATATATTATAAGATATAATTTACTAATAACTAATTAAAATAAATTTCTATTGCAATATTATGTTTTGTAATTTTGTAATTTTGTAAATTCTTTTTTTTTTTTTTTTTTTTTAAGGTGAAGTCTTGCTTGTATCTTTATTAAGTAATTTATAAAATAGTAACATATGTGCAGTACATACATTTCTACTATTTGTACTAGTACAAATAAAAGGAAAATTACATGCAAGAATAAAAGCTCAGACAATTAATAAATCCAATTTATCTGTGACCTAAACCTACTAGAGTGGTCAAAAACACACCTAGATAATATTATTTATAGGTAAAATAAAGTTAGAAGTTGTATAATACTTGACCCATAGAGTAGCCCAAGTACTAATTTTTCTAAAGACCTGTCCAACAAGTGGACAGGTTCCAGTATGTAAATAGAGTTAGTCAGATTGACCACAGAAACAAGAATATGTAAAATTATGACGAGTATATATATTATTTTTACTGTAAAAAGAATTTTGTAAATTCTATTTTTAATATTAATTATATTTATAATAATTATTTTTATAATTAAATAATAAAAACATATTTTTATTTTTATTTTTTTCAATATTAAAATGATCTTTTTTTAGTTTTAACTTTTTATTAATACTTATATCGAGCATATGTATATATAGATATATTTATATTAAACTGTTAAATGAGTATACAACTGACTACATATATAACTTTTCTATATAACCTATTTAAGAAGTCCATCTAAAGGTTTCTTATCAATTGTCATATCTAACACCTCTGCTTAGATGTTCTATTTAAACTTTCTAATTTGGTTTTGGTATTAATTTTATCAGGTTATAAATCTAGATCTTTTTATTATTAACTTTTAGGATTATAATCTTAAGACTATTTTTATTTTCAAGATAAACCTACCAGAGTAAGTTATATTCTTTTTTATTGCTAATCTGGTTTGATGCTATAGTTGAAACTAATACTTGTAGTCAGAGTTATTTATTAAACTATTATTATCTTTGTAAAGTTTATCCAAACTCTAATATTTATTTTTTTCAATATCTTTTCTATTATCTCCTATTAGTTAAACTCAGAATCAATAGGCTTTCCAAACTTCTAATCTAAATGGTCTAATATAATATACTTATATATTTTTTTCTTTTAGTGATTCTAGCAACCTGGTTGGTATATATGCTTCTTTCATATACCTGTTATTCAGTTTATCTGACAATTTTTATAAAGATGTTTTATAGACTTCTACCAGTTCAACAATATTATTAAAAGTTTGTACTATCTCTTTATTTAGTATTTTCAAATAGGTTTCTGTTTTCTTAATTTCTTAGCCTTTTATACCTAATGGTCTTATTATAGATTTGCACTAAAGCCATATATGATATTAGCTTTTTACATTTCTTTAAGTATATATAACATTATATTTCACATAGATGTTCTGAGTTCTTAAAATCAGATGAAATCTAGATTGGTATATCTAAGATTACAAATGTTTAAAATCTAACTAATTGATAAGAGACAGTTATTATAATACAGACATAATTTCTAAAATTTGTTATTTATGATAATTAAACCTTAGATCTGTTATTTGAAAGTTGACAACTTATTCACTTTACTAGATTGTCATACTTCTAAGCATATTTTTTAAATATATTCAAAACCTTATATTATTTTATTTAAATTTAATAATATAAAATGTTATTTATAAAATAATTATATAATATTTAATAAAGAATTTGAGTTTTATAACTTAGTAAGTAAGTTTTTAATTACTTTATATATAAGTTTAATAGTTTGAGTTAAATTAAAACTAATCTTTTTTTGTTTAATATATTGAATTATTTAATCAGATACAAAAGTTTATAATAAAATCTAAATGCAAATACAAATTTAAAATAAGAAATTTTTTAAAAAAACTTAATTATAAAATATAATTATTAAGCATAACAGTAAGATGTAGTAACTTAGTAAAGTAGATAAGTTATCAATCTTTCAAGTAGTAGATAGTAAGTTTAAAACCTACTAATGATAAAAATTTAGATAATTATCTATATAATATATTGATAGTATTATGGTGATGGCATTTTGTTGATCAGTTAGAATAAAATACCTGTAACATAGTTATACTGGTATAACTAGCAAATTATAGGCATCTGTGCAATATTGAAGTTATACGGAGAAATGCAAACTGGCATCAAACAGTGCAAACTTAAAATAAGTATTTGTGACTGTATAAATCCTTAAACTGAGAAGCTAAAGCCCACTTGTAAAGCTCTAAGTAAAAAGGTAGTACAAACCTTCAACAGTACTACTGTAAAGGCTAGATCTAAAAAACAAATACCAATATAGAAAGAATTAGATAGACAAAAATCTCAGGTAAGAAGTACTATTAACCAGACTGCTGAAAGTCTTGAACTAAAGAAAAAAAATCTTGAAAGGCAGACTTTGAAATGCCAGAAACAGATCATAGTTCTTTTAGACTATTTGAATTAAAAGTCTAAAATCAGAAGCAAAAGTATACTATAAGTATTAGAGATATGCTATAAAGTTGATACTAGGATCTGAATAAACTTTGCAAAAGTAAGCCTTGTTAGCAAAAAAATATTAAATATAGATAGTTAGTTAGCAGAGAAATCCTTAGAAGCTTTACAGTTAGATAATATTTTAAAATATATAACAGCTTGACAGATGTATAAAAAGAAAAATTAAGATTAGATTAGATAATACTTAGATATATAGGAACTTATATGCTATTTGTCAGTATAAATATAAAGATCAGAGTGTTTAAATAGATAATCTCTTAGTAAATTACAAGTATGGCAGCTAGTATAGAACCTGCTATATGAATGAACTACTTAAAATAAACAACTAAAAGTTGTATATATAATTAGTTGTATATTCATCTTGTACAAGTTATGTAATCATAATTAAATTATAATAAAGACAATAGTCACCAATAATCATAACCTTAGTAAAAGCAAAAAAAAAAAACATAACAATAGTATTACAAAAAATTATAATTAGCTTTATATTAACAATAATTAGAAAATAACAAACTACTTATACAGTTTTTAAATATTCTTTCTTTTTTTTTTTGTGTGTTAAGATGACCTTTTTGGTTTTTTGACTTTTATTAATGACTTTTAGTAATATGATTCTATAAACTACTACAAAAGAGCATACAATTGGCTATATATATAACTTTTCTATATTACCTATTTAAGAAGATCATTTAAAGGTTTTTTACCAATTGCTATATCTAATACCTTTGCTTGGGTATTTTATTTTTTTTTATTTTTTTTTTTTTTGTTATGCCAAAGTAAAAACTTTATTAAGCAATAAAAGTAATTACATTAAAGATTTCTAAACTACATTTGTGCTACTTATTTAAGACACCCAATGTGACATTACACC